AAAAAGAAGAAGAAGAAGAAGAAGAAGAAGAAGAAGAAGAAGAAGAAGAAGAAGAAGAAGAAGAAGAAGAAGAAGAAGAAGAAGAAGAAGAAGAAGAAAATCGAAATGATATAGAGCAAGAAGTAGGTCGAGTTTGACCCGGTCTGTTAGGGCCATTCCTGCGCTGGGAGGAAGTATCTTGAATATCTTCTCACACAGGAATGGAACTTCAATACAGCATAAATTCCCAGCATCCTGCGTGCGATCAAAGATCGTGTATGACAAAATAGTTCACTCCTCTCTGTGAGTCAATTAAAAAAGTGTCCTCAAAATCCGATGGCGCCCTCTTAAAAAAAGAACGGACTTTGCGAACAGAGTTACCCTACTTGTGCGAAAAACAATAAAAGTGAAACTAACAAACTGTGCTATTCCTATTCTTTTTCTGGAGAAACAAAAGAGAGCTTCAAAACAAAGGCTGCAGGGCCATCTGAAACAATGCGCGGACTTCCGTAGACACTTTTTTGACAGGAACAATCTTGTTATGTACGATCTTTGGTACGATGGCGAAGCGCATAACCTCTACACCACAGACGTCGGCTGTTACCTTTCGAGCATGGAACTTGTTGAACTGTTTGATGAAGACTTCTTGTAGGAAATTGACGTCGGAGGTGACAATCACTGGCGTTGGACCCTCAAAGTAGCTGTATAGGTGGGAAACACGGTTTAACTCATTAAACTTTCCTTTCTGCAATAACACTTCGCTACCTCACAATTACAATGTTCTATCTGACATTTTTTGGGCTGTTTTGAGTTACTAAGACCATGGGGTCAGAAACCAAATACTCTGCCTCCTCTATTAAAATTGTATGATAATTCAGAGTTGTTATCAACATATTCAAAATACTGCAGTCGAAAAAATCTTGTCATGTCGTGAAACTCAAAATCTTTGACGTCAAATTTCTTTTGAAAAAATATGCACTGAGAAGATAGAAATTTGTAGTTTTACGACAACGACTTGTCTATAAATCCTTCTATATATTATTGAATATGTGTACAGCCACGTATGAACGTGTTTTTTCTTTTAGAAGTTCTCGGGCGTGAAAAAAGAAGTAACATATCGATTTCAATACGCCTACAAAAATTACAGTGAACCGTTTAGACTGTAACGTACATGTGTCATGACTCGGTGGAATCGGGCGTTCTACAATTTTTGGGCTAATTGAGTTATTTTATTTTGTTTTGCTTTTGGAGAAAGAAGTACCATATATTATCATGAAAATATGTCAAGATATTTGAGATTGAAGCAGATCGGGGTTGCCTGTAGTCAAAGGAAAAATGAATGAGAAAATGACCGCTAAAGTTTGGTTACTTCCCAAGCTTGGGTATCCTCGGAAACTGAAAATATACTTTTTTTTGTCTTTCAACAACATTTTACCTTAAAATCCACGCAGACATGTGTTTTTAAATGGGCATAAAATAAAGGTGTTGAACAAAAAAAAACACCAAAAAAACCCAACAAACAAATAAACCCCCAAAATATATCGTCAAAAATTCCGCAAAGGCAGAAATATGTTGATTTCTTCGATTTCATTATTTTGACGAGCGCCTGATTTCACCACGATGCCTCACAAATTTAAATCTTTTTAATGGTAACATACCCGAATGTCTCGCCATACATCTCCCTCCATTCTTGATATTTCTTGAAAAGCGGCTGCAATGTAATATGAAATGTAAGCGGTAAATATCAGTGGGAGCTTTTAATCTTCAAGAATTATGAAGAAGAGCGATGCCTAAATGTTGGAAGATAATTAGCACTTCTTCCCTGCTGCCTCTTTATAAGTTTGTAGCAGTTTGCCGACATTGACAGGCAGGTATTATGTGTGTGTGTGTGTGT